ACATTATCAGCTTTTAGTAATCTATATAAATAAAAATGTAAATGTTCGTTTGTTCAAAATCTTAAATCTCCGAAAGTTCTTCACCGATTGCTTTGAAATTTTGACACAACATTGCAGTCGAATACGCGCGTGTTTTTATATACATATATTATATAGATGTCACACATGTGACAGGTAAAAACATGCTTTTTTTGAAAAACAGCGCCACCTGTTTTTGGACGTAAAAGCAACACATTTTACCATTCCATTTCAATGTTTCCGATTTACGATCCATTTACGATTTCCAATTTTAAGATTCCATTTCAATGTTTCCGATTGCATTGTTAAATTGAATTTTCATAGATTTCGATTTATTTTCATTTTGATTTAATTATTTCGTGTGACATTGCGTTGGAACTGATGCACAGACAATGGAACAACAAAAAATATTGTATACCCACAAGCATTGTGAAATTAAACATAGTAGAAACGTGCGCGTTCTCTTTTCTTTCTTTTCCATTTAACCAGACTAAGCCACAGCAACGCGTGGCCGGGTACAGCTAGTGGTTAAATAAAACATGAAATCTTATTGTGATATAGCAAACCATGTCTACTAAAAGTAGCGAACCAATAGCCTTGCTGGAAAGAAAGCAACCGCCTGTGATGTAGAAATTAATCTCTTTGAAGGCAAGAGGGCTGATTTAGGTTAACTTAAAACGGCGGTTCTCTACATGTTTACGCGATCTGAAAAGCTATCAGAGCCGAGCTGCAAAAAACCCTTAAAATTCCCAGATGGCAACAAAATTACAACTTTCTGCTTCCTCCTCTATTCGGCCTCCGGATTTTGCAGTCCTGGCCACGCGTAAACTCCACAACGCCATAAGGCAGATAGTTTGCTCAGGAATTCTGGGAGTTGAAGTCCCCAAGTCATAAACGGCAATCGTTCCCCACCCCTGCCATTAAGGCATCAATACGCGCCTGGCTCCGGTTGCAGCGGAATATGGTCAGTTCGAAGAGGCGGGACGTCTCGCGCTTTATCAATCTCTTCTCCTCGTGGGCGCGCTCGATCTGTCAATCTCGCTCAGAAAAAAAACTACCTTCTGTTCCTACACGGTTCCCCGTATTTCTTTCGTTTTGCGGCACTGTCGTGAAGAAAAAGAGATTAGCCTAGAGCGGCATAACAGAAGCTCCTGCTTGACGGCCGAAGAGTAAAAACGGGGAGGGGAGGACTTGAGAAATCGTTTCGCTGTCGCCAGGGAGATCTTCGCCATGAAGCAGAAAAAGAAAGGTAGAAGGGGGGACGGGACAGAAGGGATATTGGTATGAAGCCTTCTAAAAGAGACGCCCTCCAGATGCATTGGACTGGGTGTGGGACCACGCTATTTGGGTATTCTGGGAAATGTAGTCCCACTACAGCTTGAACGCCTCAAGATAGGACAGTCACATGTTCATCGATAGGAAGTTGCGACTGAGATGGCTTTTAAATATGATCAGCATCATTAGTACAAAAAGGAGTAATTTCATCATGAGAAACGTGTCTGAAAATCCTGGTTGAGTTTTCAGAGACTTGAAGGGTTTCCCTCTGTTCAGCGTAGGAATCCAGATTAAAGTATCTTGTCTGTCTTCCACCTGAACACACCCATTGAAGGGGAAACCACCACACTCAATCACAATCTGCCCTCCTGTAATTTAAATCCATTTTCCCGTATCCTGCTGTCTGGGGCAGTAGGGAATCTGCTGGACCCCTTTCAGGTGTTTAACAATGCTAGTATATCCTGTTTTGCTCTGCTAAACTAAAAAGGTTTCTTTACTCAAGACTTATTCCCAGTTCCTTCCATCTCTCTTCATAATGTGTGTGTGCATGTGCCTCTTTCAAGTCAGCACTGACTCCTGATGACTGCCTGGACAAGTCCCTGCAGTTTTCTGGGCTAAGAATTTCAAAAGTGGCTTGCCATTCCTTGTTTCTTAGGGCTGAGTGTGATTGGCTCAAGGTCACTCAGCTGACTTTGTGCCTAAGGTAGCATTAGAACTCATGGTCTCCTGATTTTTGCCTACTGCCTTAATCACTACACTAAACTCTCTTCTTACTTGGTTTCTAATCTTCTAATCATTCTTGGTGCTTTTCTCTAACCTGTTCCTCTTTGTCTTAATCCATACTATGTGGTGTCCCAAACATAGTAATGATGATAGGATCTGGCCAAAGCAAAATGGAATGGCTACTTTCTGTCATTTGGCAATTATACTTACGTTGATGCAGTCTAAAATTGCATTTATATTCTTTTGCAGACCAATTACATTGCTGGTTTAGTTTGTAATCTATTCCTTGGCCTTTTTCACAAACATTACTAGTAGGACAAATATCACCTTTGCTATCTGTGGATTTGATTTTTTTTTCCTTTAAGAGAAGAACTGGCCTCTATTAAACTTAATTCTGTAACTTTTGGTCCATTTCTCTAAAATACAAGGCTATTTTCAATTTCCTTTTAGTCTTCTAGGTATTATCCCATCTCAAATTTGATATGCATTTCCTGCATCTTCTCCTCCATGGCATTATTGAAAGTATTGAAAAGATTGAACTCCTTGGTACCCAAGTAAATGTCAGTTTAGTTTGATAAAACATTAATAAATGCTTTTTGAGTATGATTCTGTGATTCAGGTGAATAAACTTTGGGCTTTGAGAGAAGAAAAAGACTATGGTGGGATGAAACCCACAAATGGAACACACAGCTAGAGGGATTTAAATTATTTAAAAGAAACAAACCAAACAAAAGAGGAGGTGGAGTTGCTCTCTATATAAGAAATAACTACATCTCTACAGAAATAGAGCACAAAAATGATGAAAACTCTTGAATGCATTTGGGTCAATATAAAAGGGGGAAAATGACATTGCCATAGGTGTATACCAGACATGTCAAACTCGCGACGTCACGTGACGTCGCACAACATATCGGGAGAGTTTTGCCATTGCTGGCAATGGAGTGGGTGCGGCTTCCCAATAACACGTCCGGCCCATGGACCAGCAGTTTGACACCCCTCATGTATACTATAAGCCGCCCAACCAAACAGAGGAAATAGATGAACTTTTTGCTAGTCAGCTAACTAAGGTATGTAGGAAGCACATGTAGGAATGCTCCAACACTGGAAGTTTTTAAGAAGAGATTGGACAGCCATTTGTCTGAAATGGTATAGGGTTTCCTGCCTGAGCAGGGGGTTATAATAATAATAATAATAATGATAAAGTTGGAAGGGACCTCGGAGGTCATCTAGTCCAACCTCCTGCTCAGGCAGGAAACCCTATACCATTTCGGACAAATGGCTGTCCAGTTTCTTCTTAAAAACTTCCAGTGTTGGCGCATTCACCGCTTCTGGAGGCAGGTTGTTCCACTGATTAATTGTTCTAACTGTCAGGAAGTTTCTCCTTAGTTCTAGGTTGCTTTTCTCTTTGGTTAGTTTCCACCCGTTGCTTCTTGTCCTGCCTTCAGGCACTTTGGAGAATAGCCTGACTCCCTCTTCTTTGTGGCAGCCCCTGAGATATTGGAACACTGCTATCATGTCCCCCCTCGTCCTTCTCTTCGTTAAACTAGACATACCCAATTCCAGCAACCGTTCCTTATATGTTTTAGCCTCCAGTCCCCTAATCATCTTTGTTGCTCTTCTC